GACTGTGAAGAATCTCTGTGTGATGCAGTCAATTCATTTGACACGAAAAACTTTCTGAAACCATTGCACCCCTATGTCGTCGTTCATCCACCCATTTTCTTGATATGCCCAAATGGTGCCTTCTGGGCTGTCCTGAATGGCAAAGGAATGGATGGACCTGTTCGTTATGCTAGTGACAAAAGATCAAGATAATTGCAACTTTACAATACTGGCAAAGTTACTTTTTCAGAAGTTCATGCAACCAAAATCAATGCTGCCTTCGATGTCTTTTACGTTCTTTCTTCTTATTAACCAGGAGCCAGATCATCAGCAGTATTCGTTCTTGTTTCATTAACCTAGACAGTTTTGACTGGGTAGGTGCCATGCTGCTCAAAACAAAAAAGGCGCCAACACGCCTTCCCCTATTGAATTTGCCACTTGCGATATCGCACATTTCGTCCCGCTGCCGTTCCGCTGCCGCACATATGGATTTAATGTGACTTGCGGTACCGCACATATTGTCCCGCTGCCGTGCCGCTGCCGCTGTCGTCCCGCACATATGGATTGTCACCTTTACCAGAACTCGGACAAAGCATGTTTTGCCCTTGGTGAAAGTAGATATTGAGAACGTCTTAAGTACAATCAACACTACTTCCAATCCATTACAAGTAGTTGAAATAACACGTGTGAGCAAATATCCAAGACAACTATTGGTGAGTCAACTACTAAATTCGACATAGACATTTCGGAAAATAGCGCTCCGAGTTTCTGCTGACAAAAAGTTTAACACGTAGGCCTACTTCTCATGACAGAAAAGAAGGCAAGCGTAAGATTTTTGAAAAATCCGGCGTAATAGGCGTAACAAAAAAAAAGAAAACAACAACAAGCAAACCAGGGTACTCGCGATCAAAATCAGGAAAATCAGGATGCTTGAGATTTAGGGCAGGGATGAGTGGCAGGTTTGGAAAATAAACTGATTCCTTCAGAGCCATCCCAGGGTTCACATTCCAGTCTTTCCACACTTTCGATGACGGACAACATGTCTACTCTGCCGTCTTGGGGAAAACAGACGAATATCGCAACATACCCATTTTCCAGGAGGGCCAAAAAATCAAATTTATTCGTCTCACGTTTAAAAAGTTATTTTTTTAATTTTATTTTTAACTTGATTTTTTTTTTTTTGCAGGAGGAAGGATGGTGCAATTATGCACTTGTAGTTAAAATTTTGTTCGGAAATATCAACAAAATTTTGTGTGAGAAGACAAAAGTCATTCTTTCATAACAGAATGATGAAATTTTAATTAGCTTTTAATGGGAAAAGGATGAATAGCGACATTCGTCTTTCTTTCACCCGACGTTGTCAAATAGTACCGTCCTGGATTTTTCATTTGTGATTTTTGAGGTTCGTCTGGTTTTATGTAAGTGTTTTGGGGCTTCCAGACTGTTATTTAATTGCGCTTTGCCGGTGGAGCCAAAGAACCGGGATTCAAATTCTGGTGAGTGTACACAAGCAGTGGTGCTTGTCGTCTTACTGCGTGCAACACACTTGACACTGCGGGGAATAACGCCGGATATGCCAGGATTTGAGCCTTTTGGTATTTCATCATAAGACCAGTGGCATTGTAACGTAGGAATGTTTTGGCGAAGAAGGACGAATATTGGTATATTCGTTGCTTTTTCGTAAACTGAGGATGAACCTCTCGGTATTCGTCCTTTTTTCACAGTAGGACCAGAGATTCATCTTTCTTTCATAAAATATAGAATAGGTGATGTAATAAAAGAAAACAGACATCACTGATCTGCCTGACAGAAGCAGTGATGAGTAGTTTAAATTCATTCGAGCAATAGAAAATGTGCTAAACACATATTATACGCTGTGCATATTAGCAAGCTCAGCACTAAGCGCACTCTATGGTTTCCTTTGTCACTAATATAAGCTTATATCTATCCTATACTATACATCATGCATTTTAGACACTAGCCTGTCTTTGGCTGCTCCCATCCATCATCATCCCATAAAAATAATTATGATTGATGATACTGTTATATTACTATGTTTAATATATAATATTATAATGTTAAGTCATTGAGTCATTGTCTTGTGAGTGAAATTGTGCCTCAGATTAGTAGATCTAGCTTGGATTTTGTGATGTTTAAGTAAGTAATTTAAACGCAAAGACGAGGCAAAATTGCAGTGGTTAGATTTGATATCAATTAACTGAAAGGTAGGCTTTGATCAGACCAGGCTCTTAATCTTTTCGAATATTTTCTTAAAAACATAGATCTAGATCTGGATCTAATCTGTCAAAATTCTTATCAATCTTATTCTTACCAGTGAAATGAAAGGGTTCCTTTCGAGGCTCTGTTAGTACACTGACAAGTTAAATACAGCAGTGTTGCACCATCCTTTCTGGTCTCGTTTTATTGTACAGAAAGTCTCTAAGGCTGTAGATCTACTACTACTGCTACTACTCCTATTACATTGTACTATATGTACTACTACTGCTGCTACTGCTACTACTACTACTGCTGCTGCTGCTGCTGCTGCTGCTGCTGCTGCTGCTGCTGCTGCTGTACTGCTGCTGCTGCTGCTGCAGATCATTTCTATAGTGCCCACAATCCCAGCTCTAGGTGCTTTAGAATCCACATAAATGCATACATGTATGAACAATATTCACACATGCACACACACACACACACACATACGCATATACACACACACACACACACACACACACACACACACACACACACACACATGTACACAGAGACAAACACTCACACACACACGCACGTGCGTGCACACACACGCACACATTGACACTGCGCTAATGGGAAGTACGGACCTGGTGAGACGAAACCAACTTATCAACGTCAAGTTTCAGATTGGTCAGTAGCAGACGCTAATCGCTACGCTCTGTGATCCTTAGTTTTTTCCTCTGCTTCGTCAGCAACCTTGTCACTGCACAGAATCCCCTTTCTGCTAGACAGGAGGTGGGAAAAGCGATGAACAAGAACTTGATATTTTCCCACAGGGACTCAGGGAGATATTTGTCTTGCACAATAGTTTTCAACCAGAATGACTGGTACGACTTTTTGAACAATGGTTTGATTTCAAAGTCACTTTTCACTGTCAGCTCTTCTTCAATTGCCAATGTCAAGTCACCATCTGTTCTAGTATTGAGTGGGTCCAGTACCCAGTCTGGAATTTCCAGTTAAAAGATATCAGTAAACCTTGTCTTCGCGGTCATATCAGCATGCAAATCTCTGAAGTGGTTGGTATATATTTCTAGTTCCTTGACCCGCCCTTCTTTCAGTGTCTCTGTCAAGTTAGGAAACTGAGCAAATTCTCTTCTGCCAATGTTACGGTGAAACATTTCCAATTTCGACTAGAATGACGAAAGCATGGATTTTTGCCTTGATCAGGTTGGTGTCATCCCCCTGCAGCTGCAAGTTGAACTGGTTGAACTTTGTGAAAAGATCTGTGAGGAACGAAATGTTGTTCTTGTGTTCTTTCAGTTTATTGCAAAGATCACTGTCTGTTTCTTGAAAAAAGATCCAACACTGAGTCAAACAGGCAGAACAATAATTGTGTTAAACAGTTTCCTTTTGAGAGCCACCGGACTTCAGTGTGCAAAAGAAAGAATTGAAGGTTCTCGTCATTTTCAGTGCACAGCTGTTGGATTAATCTCGAGTTCAAAGCATGGACATTGATCTTGTTCACACACTTGATGACTATGGCCAGTTTGTCATGCAGACTTTCATTCAGTTTTTTTGCCACCAAATTCTGTCTGTGAAAGACACAGTGAACAGTTAGTACTCCAGGGACTGATTTCTTCAAGAAGCTCATATCCACGGTACCGACAAGTCATCGACGGTGCTCCATTTGTTGCACAGGCAACTATTGGCCAGAGGAATCTGTTTCTCCTCAAAAAATTCTTGGACCACTTTGAAAATGGACTCGACTTTGGTATATGTTTCCAACATTTTCGCAAATAAAAATTCTTGCATTATTTACCTCACCCTCTATGAACCGATATCCAGTTGAAGGCTGAACTCACGTCCTTAAAGCATTTTGCACAATGATTCCTTAACATTTGCTGACATCCAATCCATACGTCTTTGAACGGTATTGTCACTTAGTGGCAAGAACTTTCAACTTTCAACACAGGCTCCGGGGCACGGTGCAGGACTGTGCTGACCACCTCTCTTATTGCAGGTAATGAGGTCCTCGCCGAAAGTATGTGGTTTGCCTGCCTTTGCAATTAGCAGAGATGAATGATAAGTTGCTCGTAAGTCTTCATCAGCTTGATCGATGTCGGCTGCAAACATCGATTTATTCGATTTTTATTTCTGAAAATTGATCTTTAGAGTTTTGAAGTACGCCAGATCTTTGTCAGATTTGCCGGCTTGGAAAGAAAGTTCTTAGTAATAAGTGGTATTGTAAACTATGCCTAAGTTATCAATTTTTGTTTTTGTTTTTTATGTGGCTTCTTTCCCTTTACCATTTTTTATGTTGCATTTCATGAAAATTTCACACCGCCCCCTTAAAGCCCACCACCACCCCCCAATCGCCCAATTTCGTCACAGCGCCCCCCAAACTATCGCCACCGCCCACTTTGAAAACCACTGAATTAGAGGAAGGTTTTCTCTTTTTCTATGTTTAAAAATAATTAATTAAACTGAGTAACAAAATGTAATGACTTACACTTTTTTGTATTTTTTGTCTTCATACTTTCTATTTTAAAGGTCCAGGGGGAAGTTGATATTTTTTTTTTCTTCGCTCCCTGCTTGTGGGCAATTTTTCTATTTTGGAAATTCCCAGTTATCCTGTGTTGAAAAGGGAGTTTTGCTTTTTGAAAGAAACAAAGTCTTCTTTTTGTCTCTTGAGGGCTCGCTGATGATCATGTCTCATAGTTAATTGCCTTTTATCAAACACTGCATTACTTTAAATTTTGTAGCTGAAAAGCTTGTAATGTATATCTTTAATTTTTGATTCACCATTCTTTCCCTCATCATAGGCTGAGCATCAGTGGCACTTCAAGTCAAGACCTGGCTTTCCCATTTGTGCTGATTGATCACCAGTTGAGAGTGGAAGAAGCTAGCTTACCCTGCTGTCTATCAGTCACTAAGTTACCTGTAAGAAGAATTTGAAACTTTCCTGTTTTGTATGGCAGGAGATTTTGCTGTTGTAGCGAATATGGAACTCAGAAAAGGGGTCCTATGATGATCCTAGGAGAGTTCAGTCTCAATGATTGAGAGAGCACTGAAGGAAGTTTATGTCTCAAGAACACTCTGCTCTAGAAGGTAGTAAATCAAACCTTGCTACTACCCAGGACTGGCCATCTATTCAAGATGAGTGTTCAGAGGACTCCAGGGTGATTTCAAACACCAGTTCTGAAGCTGTTCGCGGTGTGCAAGTTCAAACTGTTAAAGAGAAAAAACTTTTTCAAGGTCCAAGTAGTCATGTAAAGGAAAAACAGAATGTCAAAGATATTTGTAATCAAGGTTTCTTTCTTGCTAAACAATCCCCCTTTTTAAGCTCTGTGCCAAGTGTGTTTCAGGTAAAGTTTGGATTTGTGAAAAAGAATGATGGCAGACATGGAACAGAAGTGAAAAATATACTTTTTGGAAGTGATGAAAACAGTAAGGCTCCCCTTCAACAGAAACATACCAATATGGAGCCAGGAAAAAGGAGTCGGGACACAGATAGCTTTGATGTTGATAGGGAGCTTGAGATGAAAAAGTGCTATCCAGCTGACCAGCAGATGGAGAGAGAAGACAGAGAGGTCATGAGTTTGGTCAAGAAGGAGCCTATGGAGGAGTCACCGGACCTGATAAGTGAACAACCTTCTTTACATCATGTGGCGTCCTGCAGAGGTGGCCATGGTCCAATCAAGGATATCAATAGACGCCCAAGTGAACCCTTTGGTGACAACAGTCAGCTCTCAGCTGTTTCTTGTAAAGCCAATGAATCAAGTCCAAGATTGCACAGCTCACCAAAGTCCTCTTCAGGGAGTCTCAGCTCTATGGATTTTTGTCAAGAGCAACCAGATTCATCCACTGGTACATGTGAACAGTTAAAAGAAAAAAATGAATGTGTAGTACTCTGTCAAGTATGTGATGATCTCGCTGCTGGATTCTATTGCGGGGCATACATTTGTGAGGCTTGCAAGGTAAGAAGACTTTTCATTGCAGGTCTAGTTTATGGTCTACCGCTGAACCTGTCTGATAAATGTCCTACTTATTGATCTGCTAGTTTATAACAGGCTCGAGACCTGTGACAAGATCAGTCAGGCAGCACTTAAGTCTTGTGAGACTGCATAGATCACTGTAGATTGTGTGTGGTCAGTTGGCCTCAGTATTGCTGTGGACCGTTTGCTAAACTGGCACTTTTTTCTTGTATCTGATCTGTGGTTTATCTACCACCATGGAATAATGACATTTTTTAAAATAACCTAAAGTATATCAATTACCTTACCTTTTTAGAGATTTTTATCTTTGTATTTCCTGGAGGGGGACTCAAACATCTCTGCTGATTGAATTTCTGTCGAATCATAGGCCAGTTTTCTTTTGTGTTGATTTGAGTACAGTAATACTTTTAAAGTTTGGTTTTGCAGCAATTCCTCTTTCCATGTATGCTGCAATTTGCTTTCCCAAGTTTGTATGAGGTACTGTAATACTTTTAAACTTTCGTTTTGCAGCAATTCCTCTTTCCATGTATGCTGGTTTGCTTTCCCAAGTTTGTATGAGAGTGGTTGTGTTGACGTAATTGTTATCAACTCAGACTGGACCAGTACATGCTCACTTTTGTGAAAGTACTGGATGTGTCATATTATCTTCTCTTCAGAAATTCTTCATCAGAGCTTCCAAGTTGGAATGTCCACGATACGTGTGTTTGCGTCAAAAGAACTGCATCATCACCAAGGAAAGCAGGGTCCACTGCCAGTTTTGTCGATATCAGAAATGTTTACAACTCAATATGCGATATGCAAGTAAGTACCTTTCTTCATTTGTGCATGTATGCAGTCAAACAAATATATGCAGTGATCAAAGTCTATTTCTGTAAAGAATGCAAGAATGGAAATTTGCTACCTTAGCAGTACAAAGTTCTATCTGCACAGTAACGTAGTTTAGAGAAATTGTATTTAAAATGTGTTGAGTTTCATGACAAGTCAAGCTTAGTTTAACGCAATTCTTAGAATATCTTGAAGGACTCTAAAAAATCTTACTGTTTTGATAGAACAGGTAAAACATTTGGTTTTTGTCTTCATGGTCTTGGTAACTCTAAACAGCCAAAAATGTTGGGATAGAATTTGGTAATTCAAAAGTACAGAAACGTTGGTGTGTTATAATTACTCTTCTAGCATTTAGATCTGGGGAGTTTTTTTGTTTAGCTTTAAAACTCAGAAATAACCATAGGAATCACAGTTTCCCCATTGTTTTCAAATTGCCTAAGAAGCAAAATGTTGGGGGGGGGGGGGGGCTGTTAATAATTATCTTTGTCTTAGAATTTTTTTTACAGCATATAAATGTGGAGTGAATTTACAAATTAGGTTATCAAATCCAAAAACAAATAGAAAAGACTAAACAGATGGGCCTTTAGTATCAGAGAGAAAATTATTCCCACACCTGGTAAGTCTCAAAGACAGTGTCGATAATTTGCCCAAGAATTTTCAGGCTTGTTATCTACCTGATGGCTCAACATGTTTAAATGCTTAACCCTATCTGTACGCCCTGGAGTTATTTTGTACCCCCGGGGTTGTATTCTTCACATTTTAGAATACTTCTTGTGGGAAGGTCTCTTAGAAACTTTCAGTATTTCTGAAAAAATCATTTTCACAGACTGCTACGCGAAGCGTACGGATCAGATTTATGAGTAAATTTCCTCTTTGGAAAGTGGTGGCACAGAGTTCCCCACATCGTATAGATACGATTGCAAAACACGACGTACGGACAAGGTTATTCAGCATCTATACAAAACAAGAAACCCAACAAACTTTTTTGTTGCAAACATGCACTCTTAAAGGAGATTTGTCTTATAGTGGTGTCTCTTGTGAATGACTGCTCCGTCCTCAGAGATCTTTCCCCCCTTAACTAGATACTTACACAGCACATTGTATGGAATAACTCAAAGTACTATGCTTTAGAACACCTCACTATAGTGCATTGTGTTGAATGACAAAAGTCCGCAGGCAGCTGGGTTAATGACAACCACAGTCATAACAATGACTTAAATTATGTATACTTAAAAAAAAAAAAAGAGGAAATCAATAGTCTCCATGCAAAGGAAAAATAGAAAAAGACTCAGGTCCCAATAAGGCAATATGTTTTGCAAAAGTTTCTTTTTAAAAAGATTGTAATGCCTCAATAGGGCCATATAGGTGCTACCAGTTTCTTTTTTTATAAGGTGAACCTATTTCCTTTGGGGACTTAAAACATTTTCTTCTTTTCTTTTGCATGAGAGCTTTTGATTTCCTCTTTTAAAAAAATTGTATCCTCCCACTAGGCCAATGAGATCTAAGTTGGGTGAAAGTTCTTTTGACCCACAGCTCAACTAAATTTTAGGGCATATTTCTCTTTCAGAATCCACATTTATACCAATCATGATGACCCTCTTATTTGTTCAACTCTGGCCATAGTTTCTTTGGTATTAAGTTGAGATTAATGTTGTTTTCACTGGGCAAGTATGCTCCTCCTCAATTTTCAAGGGCCAAGATATCTTTGACATGTGTAGCACCCACACAAGCCTACATGATTTTTTACCTCATCCCAGACGACAGGATCATCTTGTGGTCTAGAAGTATGATGTTCGGCTCTCTTTCTGCATTCAGTCTGTGGTTGACCTGACAGCTGCGGAAAAAAAATTTTCTCTTAAATTTTCTCCTTTCATCTCCTTTTCTGCTCTCTAATCATATTCTGTCATCTACTTTCATCTCCACTTTCTGTGCCCCCCACCTTCTCAGTTCTTAACTTTTTCTGCTGCTACTCCTGGCTGTTTCTTACTTTTCTGATAAGAGCGAAAAAATCTTGGATGTCCCGTGTGCAAGTTGCGCACATTGAAGATCCCTTGATGGTCCTAAAAATCTATAAAAGTAGTCTTCGGCTATCAGCTGTGCAAAATGCAAAATCAATGCCTACCAATCTAAAAATGCTATGTGTTCCACATGCTCCTATGACCTTATTTATGCAGTTGCGAGCGCCATAAAACACCTACCAAATAAAATAAATAAATTTAATTAAAAATCCCCTTATATATTAACCCTTTGAGCACTTGCCACCGGGCACGCAAAACTGCCTGCTTGTCTAGCCACCGGTACAGTGGTGAGCGAGACCCTATCCCTAAACCGGCCAGCCTGGAACAAAGTACACGCCGGAAACCCGCGTTAATTTCACAGGACGTTACTAATTATTTTGAAGATCTTTCTGAATTAGATGCTAGTAATGACAAGGACCACCATGAGTGGGATGGAGTGTGATTCTGACAATCACATGAATGTTACTAATATATCGCTCAGGAGCTCCAGCAGAGGGCATGGTAGCATCAAGAGGTCAGAACTCAAAGAGTTAAGATTAGGGTCTGAAAAACTACAAAATAACACAGAATGTAGTACGACTGTGTGCAAACTGTAGGTCAAACCTGTTCCTTTTGCTTGAGAGGTAAGGTCTGTACATGAGTGCCTCTCCATAGTAAACAAGCTACTCATTTTCTGCAAGGCCTGTTTTTGTGACAAACTGATTTTTATTTTACAATGAAAAAAGCAATTAAATTCATTCTATCCTGTTTAATTTCAGAAGAAGGTCTGAAAGGGTCAGGAAAAGCTGGAGTGCAGGAGATTCCGTGTCGTGTGTGTTCTGCCCCATCATCTGGCTTCCATTTTGGAGCTCTGACATGTGAAGGCTGCAAGGTTTGTCTGTGATGTTCTTTTTTGAATAAAATGTAAAATGTTATTCTTTTATTAAGCCTCCTTGTCAAAAGAAAATGAATCCAAAATTTTCACCAAATGTTCCATTTTTGGTTTTAAGCATGAGGATTATTTTATCTTTAAAAAAAGCAACTGGATTTATTTGTCCACCTTAATATTGTGTGTTTACAATAGGCCTACTTAGGTCAGTGATCCAAAATTAATAAACGGGGGGGGGGGGGGGGGCACATTCAACTTCTATAATTCATACCCCTGTACTAGTAGTAGTAAGAACAAGTCTGTTTTATTTCTCCTTCAGTGGATAAAAGAACAAAAGATCATGAAATTTTAGTAAGTTACTGTGACAAATTTTCCCATTTAAGAACAATCAGTTTCATTAAAAAATATCAATCGTTGTTCAAAAATTTTTTTCATGCACAGAAAATTGGGGTAGCCATACCGGTGCTAATACTGAGGGTAATTTGCCATTTAGACAAAAAAAAAAGAAGTTTCATTCAGATATCTAGATTCTAGATATAATGTTTCACATGATAGTCTTGTGATGTTCCTTTCCCTAAACATGGCACAAATAACTTCGCACTTACTTTTAATATCAACAAGAAAAAAAGTTGTAATATGTGCATCACATATAGATGTTTATTCTCACAAAATTTGACAAATGGAAAAGAACACTGAAACGGGGAACATCCTCATTTTTTGCTCTCAGTTATGTGTATAAGCTTACTTTTAACACTGTGATAACGTGCCACATTCAGCAGTCCCTGGTAGCACTCTTTATGTGTCACGTCATCTTCAGCGAGGAATAGGAAATGATTTCTTTGCCTGACACAAGAAACTTTCTATTGGGAAAAATTACATTCATAGGCAGCCCTTTACCACTTCTCTGCTATTTGGTTATCTTCCTTTGACAATAATCTCCATTGTAAACTCTTCCACTGAATGCTTTTTTTGTGACTGGCTTTGGTGACTGTTTTACTGTTAATGCTGAAGTGCAAGTTCCTGTTTTCTGCAAAGGGGGCTTTGGAACTTGTAGTGAAACTTCTGTTTTAAGGCAGTAGATAATGAGAAAGAAGCACTGGTGGCATTTTTAAAAAGTGTTTTTAATGCATTTTACAGCTTATTGCTACTATGTAATGTGAGCCTTTTTTAACTAGATACAGAGGTAGGGGAACAGAGTGCTCCACTTCAAAATAGCGTTCTTTGCTTCTTTTTCAAGACTCTTAGTCACTTTTTTCAAACTGGTGTTTAGGTATTAAGGTGAAAGTTAGATATGCCTGTATTTGTTTTAATTTATGTTTAAACAAATTGCTACTGTCCTTGACTTTTGTGTTTTATTATATAGGGATTTTTTCGGAGGATGGTGAAAGAAAGAGAGGCCTGTGCCTACAAGTGCAGCAAAGATGGGAATTGTGAAGTGAATGCTATGACCAGGAATATGTGTAAAGCATGCAGATATCATAAATGCTTGCAGATTGGAATGTCTGTTGAAGGTAAGCTTATGTAGAAGATGGTAGTGCCATATTAGGTGAACATTTGAATAGAGTTGGGCCTGTACTTTTTATGCCCCATCTATATTTGTATTTTTTGTTCTGGTTTTTAACCTAATTTCCTCTTTGCAGAATTGTTTTTCTTGACTCTCAGTTCTGACCAATGTCTCTGTGAGTGGAAAAAGATTTCCGAAATGTTTCAAATTTTAGTCATTTCAATGTAGTAATTAGTTAGAAATAGAATATGAGAGCTTCACAGAATGTTTCCTTGGCATAAAAGTTGCATACTATGACTTTTTAAGACTGCGAATGTGATGTCATCTTGGGGAAATCCTGCCTCCATTTTTTATCGGAATTGATCTGTGCTAAAACACAATTCTTGTGTGTGTATAACATCAATACAAGTGTTTTATGACAAGTATGGGATGATGCCCATTTGTGAGGCATGCTGACAAAATGAGGTTTTTCTCAGATTTTAGCCTTATGGAAATATAAACATCAAATTTGTAGGTTGAGTTTGTACAATTTATACATACATATAAAATAGTAATAGATATTTTAAACTGAAGACAGGAGCATCAACGTTGAAATTCTACAAATTTGACCACGGTCTCAATTTTCGGCTGATATTTCTAATCATCAGTGCTTCTAATTTTTCATATTTTTACAGAAATCCGTACCGTATTTTGAGTACAAGCGGATAGATAGAGAACGTTAGGAGTACGCCATAGGCCGCTATTTATAGTAATAGCCATCTTGTTTGTGTCATAAAATATTGTTCTTCATTCTGACAAAAGACAAAAGAAGTTCCAGACCTACTGTCTAATTGCTTTATCTGAAAAAAGGAAAGCTTTTTTTACATTTTGGCTAAGTGTTATGATTATGCTCATTATATTATGTAAAAGAATAGGTGGCTGTTACTATAAATATCGGCCAATGGCGTACTCCTAACTTTCTCTAACTATCCGCTTGTAGTTTGAGTAGTCATGGCTCTCCCAGCATCATTACGGTCATTGAACTTTTCCCCACGCAGGGCGCATAGCGTAAAACCTTTGTCCCCATGTACCAGGAAATGAGTCAGATATATCTGTTCTCTACGTGTATCTTTGCAAAAATGTCACCTTGATTACTGAAATTTTAAGCGCATTGAGAAAATTGAGTGTGACAATCGTTTGTTCATCAAAGTAGAAATCAGAATCTTAATGAAAAATATTAGGTCTAAAACATTCATCACCCAAATCCTCATCAAGGCAGTACTAAAGCAACTCTCATGATAGATCTGCTTTACATTTTTCGAAGATTTTCACTGTAGTTGTAAACAAACTGATATCCGCTATCAATGGCTACACAAACCATTCAAGAAGGAAGTTGTAACTTTAACAAGTGTGCATTTCTAAAAGGAGATCATTCCTTTAGTATACTGGCGCGGATTAGCGTCCCGTGGGGGAAAGAGACACCTTTTTACCATCGCCGAATGGCGTCCCATGGGGGAAAAGTGTTAAAGAATGACCCAGAGGTGATTATATACAGTGGTCTCGCCTAAGAACACTCCACATGAAAACCTTGTTTCCCTAAGAACGTATTTTTCTATGTTATGGAATTCTTTGCCGATAATTTATTCACTAAGTGCCACCCATCTAAAGATAAAAATCGAGCTAAGAATGTTTGTATGCTGATGTGAGAATGTCTTAGATCATATAGAGCTCTCCATTTACACTTTTTTTCCCGCAGTTTGTGATAATCGTTCAGTTTATGTTTACAACAAAAAACACTGCAGGAAAAAAATGGCACCTCTGTTGATATAACTAAATGAAGTCACTCATTCCTTAGTCCTCTGTGTGGATAGTTTGAAGGCTCTACAGTTAGGCCTTACTTCTTTACTCTCCCTGTCTGTTATTTCCTATTTATCATACTCTTTCCCAGCAAGAAATTACTGTTAATCCGTTAATGTGCGCTTCTCTTTGCTAAGACTATAATAAAGTTTTTCTTCATAACATTATGTTCAACAGGAAGCAGAATAGGTCGTCAGCCCAATGCAGTGAAGCACGCCATTTCTATTGAAGCGAAAAAGTTGGTGGCCTTGAAAACAGAACCTGGAACGAACTCTGGTGACAATTCATCAAACTTCAACTTTGACTCTGTCATGCTGGACCCATACTCACAGAGTGATGTTGATGAGAACTTGCCCTCTCTCCAAATATCTCAAGAGTCATCTTCATATGATGTCTCTCCTAGTTCTTTATCAAGTCATGGATCAGAGGGCAGAATGCAGCAAAAAAGTGTTAGTGTTTTCACCGGGTCTAAGGTGAGAGATGAACCTCATATGCGAGACCAGGACTCTCGGAGTGCTTACTTCACTGATTCATCGAGCAACACTTCAGATTCCAGGTCTCAGAATGCCCCCCAAGAGTCAACAACATTGCCATTGTATACTGAGGAGAAGGTTCCCTCAGCGTTCTATGGGAAAAGAAGTGCATCAGAGATGTCCTCCACAGGTCCTTACCAAACTATGCCTGGCTCCTACAATGAACAAGAAGAGAGTCTGGATTTGTCATTTTCCTCTTCGTTTCAAAAGAAGCTCTCAACCACCCATAATGTTGACCCCTCCGTGTCTCCTCATCGAGTATCCCCTTTTCAGAAACCAGTCTTGACTCATCCCGATTCAAGAATGACATCACTGTGCGACCAAAGGCTGAGAAGTGCATCATTTGATCTGAGGGGTGCCGCTACATCATATGATCTACATGTACAGCCAAGTAGTGAATTCAGAAGTATGAGTGGTAATGGTGATATGGACCTACAGTTTCCTCATTCGCAGACATCCCCATATGGCAGCCCCTCTCCAAGTCTCAGTCGTCCTTGTCGATACACCCCCCGACCTTGTGACTATAGGGTTATGCCTCAAAGCTCACCACACTCACACATGAACAGTGAGTCACCGCTCCCAACAATGCCTCCCACTCAAGGACACCCACAATATTTTGAGCCTCAGCGTTCTCCTTTTTCTGCACCTGATGTACAGCTCAACGATGCCTCTGGTCATCATCATCATCATCAGACTCATCAGATTCTTATCCCTCCGAGTCAGCGAAGTCCATCTCCTTACGTTGATAATGCTGCAGACCACCAAAAGGTGTTCTCACGAGAACCAGAAAATGCTGAGACGTCTTGGCAGTTCAGGGCCATCTCAACATCTCCCAGTCCCAAGTGTGTAGACGGATGGTCACATCGTGTTGGGAGGAGGGGTTCCTCCAGTAGCCAAGGCACCAGGTATGAAATAATTACATGTCTGTGTGAATGGTGAAAGTTACCGTAAGACGCATTCGCTCGAACTGGGATACAGGGCAATAACAGTACAAAATTAAACAAAAATCGAGTTTCAGTAAAAAATTATTGATAAGCCCTTTATCTATCGTTTTTTACAGGCTTTGTGTGTATTTTACGCTAAAATGTTTTTTTATCACGAGTCATCTTACATGATAGCAAAGATTGCTGTAAGAGCCAACACTGGCGGAAGGTTAATAATAATAATAAATAGCATTTATACTGCGCATTTTCATTTTCTAAAAAATTCTCAATGCGCATTACAAAGAAAAAAGACAACTCATCTTAAAAATAAATCGACATTCGTGTACGTAAAACAGAGTATTATAAATGACGCTCTTATGACCTTATGCAGTTGCGAGCGCCGTAAAACCCTCTTCTATAATAGAGTATTATACATATAATATAAATGTATATGTGTAAAAATTTATATGAGAAAACCAGTCTCGCAGTGAGGTTGGAAATGTGTTCTTTAAAAATATACAATGCAATAGAAATTCTCGAACGGTCACAATAAAGTTGAAACGTGAGTAACTAGAAACATTCAGTAAAACATTCATTCTCTACAGATAGAAAAAAATGTCCGTTGTCTCTCTCTTTCTCTCTCTCATTCTCTCACGCTATTTCTTCAGTCTCACAGTCTGGCATACACAAATATATATGTACTAGCTGGGCCCCCTTTCGATGAAAGGAATGATCGGTGCATTAATATCAACTAAAAGTCATTGGCCTACTGTATTAATTTATTCTCTACTGGAATGGGGCAATAAAATAGCGATGGTGGTCATTAAACGAAAGGATCACAGTCAAACTTAGCACCAAGTAAAAAAAAAAAAGAAAACATGAGGCTAGATCTATACGGGTTGCACACTTAAAATAGTGCTCAGTATTGCGCAACAATGGGCGATAGTATCGAACGGAAGTACGACTTGATATAAACAAACCTTGCGGATTTTCTAAAATTACAGAGACAGAAGCATCGGCCTACAAAAGTGATCGGCGAAATAAAGAAATTTAGCTGTTTGCAGCAAAACTGTCTCAAAACTGAAAAAACGAAGGGCATCATGATCTGGAAAATATTTTAAAGAATCTTTTGGCGAAAACCGCATGTCGATCGATGCCGCCATTAAAAAACCTTTTGAATAGTATCGGCTGTAAGTCATTGGCCTACCGTATTAATTTACACTCTACTGGAAAGGAGCAATAAAAAAGCGATGGTGGGCATCAAACGAAAGGATCACAGTCAAATTTAGCCTCAAGTAAAAAAAAAAGAAAACATGAGGCTAGATCTATACGTGTCGCACACTTAAAATAGTGCTCAGTATTGCGCGACAATGCGCAACAATATCGAACGGAAGTACGACTTGAAATAAACAAACCTGGCAGATTTTCTAAAATTACAGAGACAGAAGTGTCGTCCTACAAAAGCGATCGGCGAAATAAAAGAAATTTAGCTTTTTGCAGCAAAACTGTCTCAAAACTGAAAAAACGAAGGGCGTCATGATCTGGAGAATATCTTTAAGAATCTTTTGGCGAAAACCGCATGTCGATCGATGCAGCCATTAAAAAGCCTTTTGAATAGCAAAATTCGGCCACCACAAATAGATAATAGATATATATGACAGGTATGCATTTGTGAATAAAAAATGCTTCAACTGATTTTTGAAAATGGAAATTGTAGGGGCAGGTCTTGTTTTATATGGGAGTTTGTTCCATACCTGGGGACCAAAGTACGAAAGGGAACTCTGGCCGTATGTTTTGAAAATTTTTGGGGGAGTTTTAAGAATTACATTGTCAGAGGCTGATTTAAGGGCTCTAGGTGGATGATATAATTCCAGGAATGTTTTAAAATAAAAGGGTGCACTATCGATCATTTATACATTTAAAGCAGAGAACAGCAGTTTTGTATTTGATCCTTTCTTTTATTTTCAGCCGGTGTAGTTCTTTCAGAATTGGTGTTACATGCGCTGATTTCTTTTGTTTCATTTTCAATTTTGCTGCTTGATTTTGGAGAACTTGTAACTTTGATAGTTTTTCGTTCGTCAAACCGGACAAAATAGCATTACAGTAATCTAACTTTGATAAAATTAGTGTTGTTACCAGTGTCTTGGCTGCTGCTTTAGTTAGATAATTTCTTACACTGCCAATTTTCTTAAGCTGAAAGTAAATACTTTTGCTGAGCTGGCTAATTTGGGAGGACATAGACATATCTTAGTCCAACTGAACCCCTAGATTTTTAAGACTTTTTTAGAACGAATGGTATGGTTATTAATATCAATTTGTAGTTCTGGGAGATTTCTAATGGCTTTTGTTTTTCAACTCAACATTATATCCGTCTTGCCATCATTTAGTTTCAATTTATTGCTGGTCGTCCATATTTTTAAATCTCTAATTTGAGTGTCATCAGCATAAAGATGGTAATTCATGCCATATTGTCTTGAAATATTAGCAATAGGTTGTGTATATATTGTAAACAAGACAGGTCCAAGAACAGACCCCTGAGGAACACCACATCTAAGCAAAACATTATCAGAATTCGTGCTTCCAACCACAACTGCTTCTCGCATGCACATACCCTCCAGAACTTCGGGAGCAAAGCAAAGTCGTTTTGCGAAATTTCTAGTTCTGTATGACAGGCGAATTTGCCCTAAAACGTTTTAATAAAACTTTGAAACTGTTCATTGTCTTAATCTGCTTTTTTAAAGTTAACCTTTGAGTAGAAGGCTAACAGTTTGTCAAGGTTTTGGAGACTAACAACAGAACTGGTAGATTGATCGATATTCATTTAGAGTTGAAATTTATCCAGATCTAAGGGAAACTTTAAAGTCATTTTTCTCAAAACTTTGTTTCTGCACTCTTCCTGACAAAATTAACCTGATCTCTCAAAGTACTGAAGCTATGTTAAAAAAAAATTTTTAAACCAGGTTGTTTGGAAATGACTTTTGTTCCAGAAAATGCAATGCCATGTAGTTCCTCAAAATTAGTCATAAGGTACCTTTCACCAGGTACACGCACAGATTTTGATGATCGAATGTGAAACCCCCCGGGGGACATTTCTCGTTCAAGCCTAGTAGAATTGTAAATGGGCTGACTCATGTCACGCTCATAACTGTGCCTGATCTACAACAGGGAACTGCTGCTTTTTCTTTCCTGATCCTTACTGTTGTCATTTTCCTCTACTTCTTTTGTATGTTTATCACTCTCTTGTGACCTGCTATTTTGGGGTGCCTTGATAATCGAAGCAGACCTTGTTCTGTTGAAGCCAGAGAGGTGAGCAGTCTAAGTGTGATTCCCTGTAAAGACTTCTCTGTTGACACCCACCCCTTGGCACTCATATGACCTTATGCAGTTGCGAGCGCCGTAAAACCCTCTACTTTAAAAAAAAACAAAAAACCAATGTGATCTTATTGCTCTATACTGGACGCAAATACTAAGTTTTGATAGTTTAATATTTTTGGTATAGCCTATGCCTGAAGTCTATTTTCTATGATGTCCCAGTGCATTAATATTATTTACAACTTAAAATTAAGAATATTGTGTGCGCTCAAGCAAAGCATGAGGATATTTTTAGAGAGAAAAGGTTGAATGTAAGTAAGATCCAAAAGGATTGGTTTCCATTTATATATTAAATCATTCCTTTTCTTCTGTTAAATGCATGAAGAGTTCAAGTTTATTTTTTAAATAGTCTATGTTATACTCAAATTGATGTTGGCTATCAAATTTGACGATGTTGGTAGTGATATTAGTTTAGTTTTATTTTCAGCTGATATAGTTTAAACTGATTTTTGTATCATGACAAATGCATGTCTGGTGACAGAGAGTCAAAAAAGATGTGTGGTCCTGTTTCAACTGTTTGAATAAATATCACAATAACCCACAGAATTCTACACTTATAGAAGCGGAACTCCCTCTTCGCGATCGCCGATTCGCTGTGAGGAATTGAAACTAAAACATGGCGGCCAGTTGAGGGCACCTTTGGCTGCGCCGCACAGCGAGGCTTCGCGTTGCTTCGCGTTGCTATGCGCGCTGATGCTAGTGGTAGGGCTTTGAAGACACCTTACATCAGTATTTTAAAACTTTCTTCGAAGAGGAAATATAGTGAAATAGTCTAGTACATTTTTATTGCCAACAATATGTCATAATTGGCAATGTTACAATGTTTTTGTATTTGTATTGTTGGTTTGTTGGGTTTTTTAAAATGATGGGATGGGATCTAGATCTAGATCTACTAAAGATCTTCACAGTCACAATACACTTGATAATAACACTAGATCTAATTATGAACATTAATTTTGTTGGCAAAATATCTAGATATAGTCTTGATTAGTACTAGTAGATCTACGATAAGAAGGGGACGCTGACAGTAACATGTTCACTACAATAATATTGTCATTAAACTTAAGGCCATCCAAAGCAAGCAAAAAAGAACAATATTAGCCTTTTCTCCAATTTACTAGAAAGAGATAAATAAATTGAGCTTATATTGAGGAAATGTATTATTTCTCACTTTAAGAATTCATCTCTGTGTTTGTATCAGTAGTGTGTACAACAACATGCTTTGTTTAAAGCACGTGCGAGTCTAACAAATACAAGAGATTGGAAAATGTGTCGGTTGCACATAGAATACATAGGCCTATTGTACATGCTGCCAAAAACAAAAAATGCAAAAAAGGCCTCAAAATATTGGTTTACACATAAAAGTCAATAATGCAAAACAAAGTAAACAAGAGTGGAACTGGCATATGTTTCCTGAATATATGTTCAAAGTCATTTTCTGTGTGTTAGGGAGTGTGATTTCTAATGCATGAATGATAGGCTCATTCAGATGTGATAATGAAGAAACTTGTGTCTACAGTCACAACAGAAAGAGTTCCATGGCGAGTGATCACTGGTCAAGGATTTCAGAGCTGTGTGCATTTTGAGAAAAATGTATCCCCATACCCTGGATCACATGTCGAGGGGATGGGCTTGTCCCCCTGTAATCCCCGCACACAGTAAACAAACACATATTTTTGAACACGAATAAGAAAAAATAAGTGGTCTCTTGTTACGGATCAAATTGAAGTCCTGTTTCAATTCAATTAATTGATAAAAGTGCGTATCGCAATGCGTTGGCCACCCCTGCCCTATAGGCCTATGCTATATAATAAATACATTCGTCAGACCTGGAATCTTTAATGCCCGCACACAGTAAACAAACACACTTTTTTGAACACCTATAAGAAAAAATAAGTGTTGTCTTGTTACGGATCTAATCGAAGTCCTGTTACGATTCAATTAATTGATAAAAGCGTGTATCGCAAGGCATCGGCTAACCCAGCACTATTACGCTATTTTATAAATACATTCGTCAGATCTGGAATCTTGAATCTTTAATTTTTAATCCCCGCTCTCAGTAAACAAACACACATTCATGAACATGTATAAAAAAATTAAGTGGTCTCTTGTTACGGGTCAAATTAAAGTCTTGTTACAATTCAATAATTGATAATAGCGCGCATTGCAATTCATTGGCTAATTCAGCATTATACGCTATTTAATAATACATTCATCAGATTTGGAATCTTAAATTATAATCATAATTATATGTGCCCGCGCGTGGGAAGTGAAAGTGAAAGGAATTGAAAATGCTTTCAAAAACAATTATGAAAGTAACATAATTAAAGTAGGACTACATGTGCTTATAAAGGCCCAAAAAGGTGTATGGATGCGGAAATTAATGTTTCGGATGAAAATAATACGCTATCGACTACTGTAGCGTGCGGTCAAAAATTTGATGCGCAACTTATTATCAAATATCTAGGCTACTGAACTATCGAACTCCTAGATCTAGATTCTCCTACTTTTACACAATGACTTAGATCTATATCAATTTGTCTTAAACGATGAGTATTTTTTTCAAACATTTGAACACATCTGTAGGTTCTATATTATTCTAGAAATTTCTTTAATAAATACTAGCCCAATATTTAAAAAAAAATCCCAGTCAATGATTTCTACAGATTTTTTAAAAGTTTATAGCTGGAGCTAAATCTCTTTTAAAAGCAAGTCCGTCCTTTTTTCTACTTTTGCTGGCGACATAAAGCTAATTATTGAACGCATGTTTTGAGAACATTAATTAGATCTAGTGAAAAAATATGTTCAGTGTAAAACAAATTTCTTGTAACAAGTTTTGCTACTAAAAAATTACGTAGGCCATATGCTTATGCAAAATGTGTGTGGGAAGCTAGAAGTGCTGTGAACAATCCCATCCGTGTTACGAATTTTTTCACAGTTCTGTAGATCTTATATTTATAAACTGTCTATGTCTGCTTTTTCTGTTGTTGCACCCAAAAACACAACAATTTAAAACCTTGATTCCAACTCTAGTTGCACAGTGAATTCTGTAACTCAAAATTACAAACTGGACAGTAAATGTTCCACTTTCCACTCGTTTGTAAAAGCCGCTCTTGCTTTAAAAGCTATAGGGTTACTTCCGAAAACGATAAATCGTGCCCTCAAGCCGCCATTGTTTTCGGTCTTCAATTCCTCACAGGTCACGTGGTACAGTTCCCGTTCTATAAGTGTAGAATTCTGTGCAATAACCTTACAAAGTTTAACAGTCAATGACAATCCTGTATATAGGTATATATGAACAAGCAGAATCTTCACAAACACGCACAAATTTTCATAAATTACTTCAGGCAATTCACAAAGTTTACAGAGCATTGAGATGTAAAATGCATGTTTTCTTTTGTGAAATTCCTGTAGTTTCCTTCTGAGCGCAAACTATCCTTTGTTTGTGATGTCATACAATAATCAAGAGTGACGTCTCAGGAAAGTCCTGTAGTTTGAGAGCAGACATGTCATTAATCAATCATGCGTGTTGCTTTTATGACTGAAGTCACCATCTTCGCTGTTAGATGGCAACTTCCATTGCTTTCTCATCCACCCTTGTAGACTCATTTATAATTTTGCAAGAGATAAATGTGTATATGGAGAGGGTCGTGTGTCTTTCAAGAAAATGAATGACTGGGACTTAAGTGCCTCCATAGTGTCTGTTTGAGCAAAGAGAAGCACAGACATAATAATGTCACTTGATGCAGGAAAAAAGTAAGAAAGACAGAAGCATTAGGGGGTAAAAAATAGGACCAACCAGTGGCACCCTCCAGCCACCCACCTATTGTTTAGTTTAGAAAGAGTTTTACGGCGCTCACACCTGTTGGGATGTGTCCTATCACAAGCATATTTACCATAGATTTAAAACAGGACCCAGAGATGTGGCAATCAGCAATATAATGCAGTATATGTTTTTAAAAGGATTGAGATGGCTTGGCCATGTCAAGAGAATGGATGACAACCGGATTCCGAAGCAACTTCTCTATGGAGAACTTGCCCAGGGAAAGAGACAAAGAGGAAGACCAAAATTGAGGTACAAAGACACCTGCAAAAACAGCTTTTATCTAAGCTTGGAGTAGATTTTAACATCTGGGACGAAATAGCTGAGGACCGGAAAACATGGAGGAAAATTATAAAGGAAAGAACTAAAATGCTAGAGAACAGCCTTAGAAATAACCAGGCTGAGAAGCGCCAACGACGAAAGGAAAACAGCAAAAAAACAGAGCTTCGATCTACGACACTGACATGCAAGCGCTGCGACAGAATCTGCGCTTCAAGCATAGGAAGAATTAGCCATGAAAGAAGCTGCATGAAGACAACCTTGAGACCATCTTAAGCTAAATTGACCGTCTGCATAGACGAAAAGAGCCATACTATGTGTAAATGTATTTGAATTTAGTAAAAGTAAGTGTGCTTTGTATTTTGTGCAATGAAGTGGCCTCTGGAAAACATATTCTGCAAGAGTAAAAAATGTCTTGGGTTTATGATCATCAACATTGAGCTTTAACCCAGTACACACTGAAAGTTTTGTCAAATTCCTGTTTGATGTGGTTTTTTATTTTTGAGGATGGCCAGGGGTTTTTTCTGCGTGGAGGAGGAAAAATTATGAATTTGGCACAATTTTCAGATCTTTTGTTTGTTATGGAATGCATTAGGACCTTATGGACTTTGTGGTCAAATTTGATGTAGCAAAGCAGAAGTTCATTTATTATAGTGAAGTGTGCTCTAATCAGCAACATTTCTCGACCTGATCTGATCTGATCTTTCAGATCAGGTCCATTTGATAATTGAGCTGCAGTGATGTACTCCCCTCCCATGCTTTACATTTTTTAATTGGGTCTGCTGGTGGAAATAATCCCCAGACAGAATATACCGAATCAATCTGTGAAGTTGTTTTTTTACTCCAAGATAAGTAGATTGTCTAACTTTATAAATCCAACCCAGTGTTTACATTGGTTATGTTGACATAGATGTCACTATTGTCGCTAAAAGGGTGATCAAATGGTATACGACCCCTTCTCAGTGTCCCCAGTTGGGGAATAATTTGTCGATCTAATTTTCTTACTTTCCGGCTCGCTGTCACTCTCTTTGCTATAACTAATTAAACTTGTATCACAACAATCCTCAGCAAATTTGGAATCATCTCTTAGTTCAAAAGCTAAATATTGCTGGGGAGTTGAAGTCCTCGTGTGATAAAGGAGTGACATTATAACAACTAAAAAAAGAGTTATTGTTCTGTTGTTTTTTTGTTTTTGTGAGTGTTTTACGACGCTCACAACTGCATACGGTCATATGAGCGCACGGAACACATTCAACATTTTCAGTTGGTAGGAAATTTTGAATTTTGCCCTGATGGCGGCCGAAGCCTACTCTTATCGATTTTAGACCACCAAGGGATCTTTAAGGTGCACAACTAGCTCACGGGACCTCCGAGATTTTTCACCCTTGCCCGAGAAGGCTAGGTGTAGATCTTTCCTATCAGAAGACTAGGGGTGTGGCTGAAGGACAGTAGTAAGAAGGAACCAAGGAGAAACAGTAGAAAGGCTGCAGAAAGAGTCAAGAGCCCAGCGGAGTGGGGCAAAGGAGGTGAGGGGGTGGGCGCAGACAGCAGATCATTGCTAGAGAGCAGGAAAGAAGGTGAAAGGAGACAATTTTAGAAAAGAAAATGTTTCCTTCACTACCTGGATTCGAACCCGGGACCTTTGAAGGAGAGGCGAACACTTTAACCTCTAGGCTCTAGAGCCCCGTTATTTTTTCTGTAAATGTGAAACTGTAGATTGTGATAGTACATGTCGAAAGTATGTGGGTGGATATATATATATATATCTTTCGAAAATTGTCTTCATTTGTTCTGAATGAGTTAGGAGCAAGTAAGCAATGAAAAGAATCTTGTTCAAGCTTACTAATGTGATTTTTGTTGTTTTTAAGATCTTTGACACCCAGCCCGGCTCGATCAGGGACAAGTATGAAAACACCAGTTCCAACCTCGGGCCGACAGTCAGCGAACCTGGAAAAAGAGCAGCGAGTACAAGAGCAGTCACCTGTTGCTGGAGCAAGGGAGTCTCCATCATTGAGCAGGAAGCTGGAAACCCCCGTTTCAATTGACTCAGTCACTGCTGAGGACGCCAAAAAGTCAATGTCTCTTGGGGCTGTAGAATTAACGCACATCTGCATGCTGGTAAGCTTCCATGGCAGGCGGGTCATACGTGAGTTGCAGCACGATAAAATAGGTTGAATCTCTGACACTGATACTCGATGATAAATCCAACATTATCAGACTCACAATTTTGTAATGTTCATAACTTTATTACTTGTGCATCAAGATTGTTACTGTAAATTCAGTTTATGAAAATGCAGTCGAACCTGTGCAAGATGGCCACCCAATGTCAAGGTGAAAAGTGGCCGTATAACACAGGTGGCCGTCTTAGGCAGGACCGATCAAAATGAAGAGAACAACCATTCTCTTCTGAGGTCCAAACCAAAGGTAGCTGCATTGTAGTTGTTGTGTTTGTTAGTTTGTTATTTTTTGTTAGCTTTTTTTTTAATTTGCTGATTTTATGCAAGGTTGACAATAAAAACTAAATTGTCAGACGAGGAAGACCAAGTGCCAAGTTAAAACAAACACATGGTCGCTACCGCTCAGAGAACAAGCGATGCTTCTGCCGCAAGTTCATATTGACATCTATTGTTACTTTGTTACAGACTTGGTAAACAGTAAATAGTGACCACTCATCTCACTTACAATTTGTATATGAGTTGTGGACGGATCTTGTGGGTTATAAGCGATCGCACGCTTCAGCAGCTGAAAATTTTTTACCTGTGTCAACAGTGGGAGGGGCTATGCAACATGATCGATTGGGGGGGAACTGCCTAACAATAAGGACAGGTGATTGGATTATGACGGCTCGTCCACAATGCAAGGGGCCAATACATGATTTATAACAAAACGTCAGGGTATAAGAGAGGTGGCTGTCTAAGACAGGTGTTATTGTTTGATGCGATTGGGGTTGTGTGATAAAATATGGTGGCCGCGGCCATGTTGGACAGGTGCCCATTTTACACAGTGAAATTATATAGAGAAAACGCAAGGGAGAAATGGAAAGTAGCTGTTTGTACAGGTGGCCGTATTATACATGAGGCGGTCATGGCAGGTTCAACAATAAGAGCTTGGTCGTTTGATTGTTTGTTAGCTTTTTTTTTATTCACATGAATAAGAATTGTCTAGTCCAGCTGGTAGGTAGTTATTCTAAGAGTCTGTCTTCTGATTTAACGGATCACTGTTAGCAGCAGGCAAGCAAGATCCCCAACTTTGCTTTGAGATGTGTTGTTGTGAGTTATTGCCATTTCTTGTATGTTCCTGAAATCAAACTAATATTTTGTGTGAACAGGACAGGGCCAAGTCGGACATCTATGAGCCAGAACTCTTTAAAGACGTTGAATCAGGCTGGGATCGTTCTATGGAGCACTTTGACTTCCATGCCAAGTGCATTGTGAGATTTGCTAAAAAGATCTGTGGTGAGTTGGGGAAGGGGGGTTATAGGTTTTTTTGCATGTATTTGTTTTTATGCTCCCATTGACACAATTTAGATAATTTAGGCAGAGGGTTTTTGACTCTGTTTGTCAGGGCCAACCCGTGCTAAGGGGGATACAGCATCCCATCAGGAAGACCAAGATGCTCAATAAAGATTCTCTCCACTCGGGAATTGAGCTCGTATCTCACTTCTTACCACCACACCACAGACACTGTTGGTGAGTTGTTTGGTCTGCTGTTTCATTTGAAATATGAGCACATTTGGTTTGCAGGATGTTCTTCATAGAAGACCCTGCCACCAATATCTTAGCCACTGGTGTTCTTTCGGGGGCCTGGTTTATTTCTGTACTTTATGCTGGCGCCTTTGTAGCTTTTGGTCGTTGCTAGTTTGGTGAGTTCCTGGTTCAATGCACAATCTTCCTCTTTGCCATGATGGGATGCCAGACATATGACTTTTTTTTTATCTTACTGCTTTACCTTTGACTTAAAACATTATTGTTATTCCCATTCAGAATCAGTATTTTAGAAAATGTTTTAAACTTCAGAAATGTCCCCTTTTGTGATTTTCTAAGGAAGTGACCATTAATGCCAAATATTGGATTTTTCATGTACATTGCTTTTTTGTACTGGTTTGCCTCATGTGCACTCGTTGCCAGTCATGAAGTACTGCACAACACCAACAAATTTATGATGTAATCTCCAGAAGTTTTCATTGTTTTGACGGTCATGAATTTGCTCTCAATTTTCATTACTTCATAACTGCTCACATTACTAAAATAAAAAGTAATCAAATCTAGGTATCATGAGTTGGGAGAGTAACAAAACATTGAAGGTAACACAAATAGAGTTTTTAAGACTGGATACAGTTACATGATAAAAGTAAAAGTAACATATACACCTCTCGTTGCAGGTTATTTGTCATCCTTATATCTGTTACTTATCCAAATAATAAAATGTATCAAACATGTTTTTGTAAGGTAAAAGATTTTCTGTTCTGCAGGTTTCCGCAGCCTTGATATTAACGACCAAGTGTTACTGCTACGGATGGCAACCTACAGCCTGGTTCTTTTAAATCACAGCAGAGGATATGACGTAGCCACAGGGTTTTACACTTACTTTAACTTCACCAAGAAAGAACAAACAAGATTGAGGGTACGTATTGTCTTGTATGTACAAAATATCAGAGTTCTTTAGGGGTCTTAAAAAGAAAGAAAGGTTTTTGATTTCCTGTGTTGTCTAATTTCTATGAACAAACATAAATTGGAAATGCCATATCAGCATTGCCTTAAGTAATGTTATTATTTACTTTTCATGAAAGGGAATTTTTCAGTGAGATACAATTATGGTCAAACAGTATAATATCTACAATGTATTTGCTTTTTTCCCCCCTTCAGTACCCCTTCATTTCTTTCAAAGTTTCCTTGGGATTTTTCCATTATGATCCCATTTTTCTCCATTGATAGCTTTTGAGTCAAAAGAAGATTGTTGACTTAACAGGATTAATCAGCACTGTGAAAAAAGGTACGAGCAACAGGGAAGAGTTAAGAAGTGGGAGGTCTACCAGTAAAGCCCTCCATTCTTGCCAACTATCTGCATGGTGAAAAATTGCTATTCAAAATATTGGAAAATGCAAAGTTTTGAATTAACTCATTCGCTACGCAGAGCCGGGGGCAGCAGCGCTTCTAAAGTGACTTCATTACGGTAAGCCACCCCTGATGGCTTGAGAACTGACCTATATTTCAAGCTTAGATTCTATTCCCATCAATATGTCCATGTTGAAATAAATGTTATAATAAAATGTTGACTTCCAGGTCAAGCGTTTCCACCCAAAATCCTCAATCTTAATTAAGTTTTGAAACACGATTTCGAGGTTAATTCGACTTGATTTTATCGCGATGCCCAAATTACAGCTCAGATACCAGTCTTAGTTCTTTTACAAAACAAAATGTATCATTATTTTGTTTACCAAAAAAATTTAGGACTCTTGTTTAGAATATTGATACTATATTTGTGAAATGGAAATACTCAAATTGCCATTGCTCTTGAGAAATCAATATTTTTTATGCTAGATCTAAATTGTCTAAATTATTTTTTTTTCTAAAACTAAAAGCACTATTATTATTTTTTTTGTAATATTACAAAACTACCACTCAAAACGTGTAGTTTTATTCCAAATGCAATTCTAAATAATTCTATAAGTAACTCATTCGCTACGCTGAGCCGTGGGGGGCGGCGCGACTCAAGTGCCGTCAGTGCGCTACGCCGCCCCCGGCGGCTCGAGAGCCGACGTTCAATTTTAGCTTGGTTTCTATTCCAATCCACATATCCATGTTAAAATAAAGGTCATAATATAATGTTGACTTCCGGGTCAAGCGTTTCCACCGAAAATCGGAAGTTTTGATTCAGTTTTGAAGCACGATTTCGTAGTTTTTTCGACTATGTTTTATCGCGAAGCCCAAATTATAGGCCAGACACCAGTCTTAGTACTTTTACACAACAAAATGTATCATTATTTTGCTCACTAAAGAAATGTAGGACTCTTCTTTATAATATTGATAGTATTGGACGCAAATTGCTGGTGCACTGTAATTGAGAAATCAATATTTTTGAGTGCTAGATCTAGGCCTAGATCTAAATAGTCAAAATATTTTTTTCTCCCCAAAATCACTACTTTTGGGTGAAATTAATTTTTTTAAAGTACCACTCAAAACATGTATAGGTTTATTCCAAATGCAATTCTGAATAATTCCATATGAGATACGCGTATTTTTTTCTGTTTGTGATCCTTTTTTCAAAAAAATTTTTTTTTAACATTTTTTCAATATCGGATGTTATCCAAATGTACAAATATTATGGAATGTATGTAAATAACTGCACATTTTTCAATATTTTCCTGTTCTATATACAGTTATGGTTATTTTGAAGTATCATTTGACTAGGTGCCAACATATTTTTTAAGTTTCACCTGAGATTATAAATTTTTTATTTTCCAATTTTATCCGCATCCAATCACAATTGTGTTGCATAATCGCCTCTTACGGGAACCAAAGTTGAAAAATACGCAAATAAATAATGCAGATGTATTTTACAAACCATACTGAAAATGTTGGTATATAATATGTTATTTATTTGAATTTATGACCCCAAAGACCTGTGAACTGCGCACTAGTCATCATCTCATTTCGCCCTCCCGAAAAGAATTCGTCCACAAGCCGAAAATAGTACGTAGCGAATGAGTTAAGATACATGTATTTTTTACTGTTTGTCCCTTTTTGTAGATTTTGTTGAAAATTTTTTTTTTTTTCAAATTTGGATGTTATGATCTGAGTGTATGAATTATGTTATGTGGGCTGCATGTGAATAATTGCAATTTTTTCCAGTTCCATATTCATTTACGGGTATGGCCCCAAAGACCTGTGAACTGCACACTAGTCATTATCTCATTTTGCCTTGCCCCCAAAAATTTGTCCTGAAGCCCAAATTAGTACATAGTGAATAAATTAGTTAACCCTCTTAGGGCTGGGCTAAAAATATTCAATTAACAGATTGTGAGCTAAAATTGCGGAATACCTAATTGAGAAGGGTATCATGGCTGACTTGGCTATGGTTGACTTATATTCTGTCAGACCCCCCATAACTCATATACAGTCGAACCTGCCTTAACGGAAACCTGTGTAAAACGGAAACCTGTCTTTACGGAATCTCCCCGCTCCTCCCTTGATATATTCCTCTTTAATTACCTGTATAAAACGGAAACCTGTCCAACGCGGAAACGGAAAGAAAAATCCGCTCCTTTCCTAGGGTTTCACCTTTCTAAGACGGAAAATGCTTTGCCCGCTCAGCCCTGATTTGAAACAAAACTCGCAAGTTTGATTCCGCCGGCTCTAAACTTAACGCCATGGCCATGCCGCTGGGCGAGGAAGGGGAGTAAGGGTGCAATCGGGGTAGATGTTACCCTATGTTACTCCATCATGTGAGCACTGAGCAGTGCAGATGGTCAGTGTAGTGTGGGTGTGATATCTCACGACTGCCCATGAGAGTGCTCGAGTAGCCAGCCACTACGGAAACTTTCCTGGGTAGCCAGAAACTAGAGGTGTGAAATTAGATTGACCAATGCCTGTCGCCCTGATCGTACGGCCAGCCGAGAAAAGAGTTCCTCGAATCGTTGTTACATGATGGCAGTGAGGGGTGGCATTGGTGGGTGGGACTAAGGGTGGAAGCAAAGGAGATGTTCAAACGCTTCTGTTTTTAATAGGTCAGGTAATTGGATAAGTAAGACTGACGCATGTCATTATCAGACAGGATAGCAACTGAGAGGTGTGACGTTTTGACCACTGCTTGCCGATCGGACAAGCGATCCTTGATCCCACAGGCTGGGCCGTTGAACCCCCCACCCCCACCCCCCCTAAATTCCCCTGTCTAAGACATAATTTTTTTCCCGCTCCCTTGTGATTCCGTCTTAGACAGGTTCGACTGTATATATTTTGAAAAGGCATATAATGGAGAAGGTTTTGGACCAAAAATCGTGAACATAGGTTGAAGTTTGATGAGGAATTAAGGGGAAGGAAGGAAAAAATAAAAAACTTCAGAACGGGAAATAAAATTGCTTGGTCGTGATAACAAAGGGCATGCATGCAAAAGTGATTTAAGTTGAAACCATGAAACAAACATGTATGTGAACTGGTAGAACCAAAATATAATTTTGCCCTCACGTTTTATTGTCCTTGTGCTCTTTTTCATTACATGGTAAGGAGCATAACACTCGTGACATAATCCAACATTAGATGAATGGCACCTCCTTTTTTTCTTATATCTGCTCCTACAAATCAAGATTACGTTTTAGAATCTATATCTAGAACCTGCAGAATCGCTAAGACCATTCTAAAATCAAAAGATTAGAATGTAGGTCTAGTTCATTATGATATATATATAGGTCTATCAATTCATCTCTCTCTCACTCACACAGGCCACCATCCATCTTCTTCTAGATGTAGGTCTAGATTCTAAGCATTGGTTCAGTTTTCAACCATTGCAAACGACAACACTGCCTTATATTAGTCTCTTCCTTCATTTCTTTGCATATTTTCATGCAAATAAATGAATAAAACACTTGATATAACATCATCACTAGATCTAGTGTCGCTACTGTGGCTGAACGATTCTTCCGATGTATTTCTATCATCGGCCATCGCTTCAACTGGTTCACTTTCATTTACAAAAGCTTCCATTCACGACATACCACACGCCTTTTCGCCTCAACAAATAAAAAAAAGTCCAAAAGGGAAGTAGTGGCAACCAATAGGAATTGCCAGATTAGTGTCGGAAAGTCAAGCCAAATGATATAAAAAAAGCCAGACACTTGGGCCACGATCGTGGCTCATCAGTGAAGAGGGTTAAAGGCGGCACACAGGTTTTTGGAGTCCTATTTGGGATCAGACCATGTTTTGGAGATTTTTGAAACTTCCATTGAAAATTATGTGCTGAATATAACAGAAGCACTTTTAAAGTCCTATTTCAAAGAGATAGTGTCTGTTTCATTATGAACCAATACAATGCTTTAAAAGCAATTTTGTGATGTTTTTGCTTGTTTTCCCACAATGTCCATTTGGCATTTAATGACTTTAAAAGCTAAAAACTGGAAAATCATTCAAGATAAAGACATGAAATTTGGAGGTTAAGTTCACCATACAATTTCAAATACAGTGATGTTAGCTTTTTCTTATATTTGAAGAAGTATATTTTTTAACATTTTTTTCTTTATTTTGACTATTTTCACTACCTTCTAATATGCTAGTCTTCTAAAAAGTAATAAATTTACAAATATTTACAAGTTTAAGAAAAGCTAGCGTCTTTTTAGATTTTGTGTGCTGATTTTAGTTCATTATATATATATATATATATATATATATATATATATATATATATATATATATATATATATATATATATATATATATATATATATATATATATATATATATATATATATATATAAGTAATTATTTCATAGGTAACATAGATATTGGTTTTGAATGTTGAGATAATGAAAATGGTCCTTCAGATAGCCTTGTTTTGCTCTAAATTGCGATTTCTATGATTGTGTTACTGATATGATTCCCGAACTGGAATATTTTTTTATCCTTGAATGGAATGAGAAAATGAGAAGAAAAAGGAAATAATTGATTTGTAGATTTTTGTACCAAGAAGTAGTGTGTGGCCCTGATGACATCAAGAGTTCACTTTTTGTTGTTGTTATTGTTTTTTCTTTGATATCTTAAATCGTTACTGAAAGTGATGTTTTGAAACTTCAAACATTTCCTTAATAAAACAAAACCATAATGAGGCAGGCTGTATTTCCATTTTTCTCAGAATAAAGAATTATGAAAAGCATGAAAGTGTTGTTTCCGTCACTATAATATATGGTAACCATGAAAAGGATTAATGTGAAAATCAATGTTTAACTCAAAATGTTTGCATATTGCTTATTTTTAGTGTTTTGCTTTTGTGCTTTCTTTTACCTTTATCGTTTCTTCTCAATCACCTGAGGCTTCATTCTTGGTTTGATGTGTTTTTATGTTTCATGTCACTTTTAGGAGTTGTTCCCAGACTTTGAAGTGCTGCACTCTCACTTCGCCCATGCTGGGATCGTGGCCAAATGTCTTGGTATCACAGACATGGAATATGCTTACCTCTCCTGCCTTCTGCTGCTCAATGATGGTAAATGATTTGCTTTCCAGTCTATTTGATGTTGCTTATTCTTTTCTTGTTAAATAAGGCTTTACAGAAGCCAAGTAAGGAATTTTTAAAGTCTCAGCTTTTTCCATTGGAACAGAAATATTATAAGAAGGATAACTTCACAAAACGCACCACATCGCAAACCAAGTCAAGAAGTATAGAACTGAAGTCTAGCACTTTTAGTCAATTTTGTAACTGACGGTCGCAGTTACTGGCTTTTGTGGGGAGGAATATCTTGGAGTGTATGTTATGTCAACTCGGTCAATGGACATTTTTAGCTGCCACAGTTTGGGGTGGAAAATTCCAAAACTGTTTACACTCTAGTTCACATTAATCCATGTCAAAGCCATTTCCAATAATGTCAAGATCACAAACCCTCAAAAATTTTTTTACCCAATTTTATGCACATAAAATGATGAGACATGATCCGTAGTGAGTGAATTGGGAAATTGTCAATAATTACACTTAAAACCTTGAATAGTGTCTGTGACTACCTCTGCAGGGCTGCCCATCAATACAAATTTGGTGGAATCATGACAATTTTTATTCAATTTTACAAAAATGCGATCGTAATTCCCACGATTCCGATTTTTTAAAGGGAGTGCTAACCCCCCCACCTAACATTATTTAGACCACATATAGCTCAAACTACCCTTTTCACGCAACTGAGTTCTTTCCACTGTCGCAATGGTGCACCTTTCTCAATTAGTACAGTTTTGTCTCAAGTGTATAACTTATCAGTCATAACATAATGAAAATTGTAAGAGCATCGCACAATACGAGAAATTTTGCTCAATCCCAATGGTTTGAATGAAGACCAGATTTTTTCCTTCATGGAGGGGCAAAAGATAGGCTACTATTTTGACACACTTTGGTCAAGTGTAAAGGTCAAATCCTCCGAACGGAATTTCGGGTCAAATTTAGTGTATTAAAAGCGTGTTCACAATGTGCCAGAGGGCCCTCTACTCTCCAGTAGTGGTAGGCAGTTTAGTGAACGTGCTCGCGACAGGGCGAATCCCCCTCGATACGCCCCGTAGACTTTGTGATCGGCCTTGAGGCCTTGAGTTTTGATGGGTCTATACAACTCTTAGTTTTGTGAATCACACTGCCACATCTGACAGGCCTACACCTTTTTAAAAGGAAAAGAAAGATCTTCGAAATGGCAGTCTTTGCGTGAAAATGGATTCGGTAGAACTGGAAATATTTGATTCTGAAAACAAGGCAATTTTTACAACGCGATAAAATAAAAACTACTGGTTGAAACTTCTAGAAGCATTATTCATTCCGATATGTTTTGACTCCTGAGTTGTATTTGTTGAAGTTTTCACAACGGTAATAGGGCTTTTAGTAAAAATGCATTCTAAAGAAAAACTCCCGAATCGGCCAGTCTGACCGGCCGCCCCTGCTCTTCCCTGCACACTGCAATAACGTGTTGCTTCGGCATCGCATTTATTTATTCAATGCTATTAGAAATCTAATACATGTGGCTGTGGAATTTGTGATATAATGACTGACAAAAAAATTCACAGTTTTTATTTTACCATATTTGGCTTTTGAATAGTGTTGATGTTAGCTAAATCTAGATTCCCTGTCTAGAATCAGTAAGTAGTAGTAGTAGGCTAGAAGCAGCCAGAGAGCCTACATCTGGTTGACCTAACTTATTAGGCTTTTTTAGTGAACGTAATTTTATAACTACGTGATATAGTGAGCTAAAGAACTACAAGGGGGGTTCAAGAAGTCTGGTCTAAATATTAAGGAATATAGATAGAGCTTTGTAACTTGACACACATACTTTTATTTCTTTACTTAGTCACCACGCAGAGTAACACATTTTTACCACCTCTCTTTGACCGTCAAAAGTCCTTGAGAGAAAAATGACTCAGAATGGGCCCCTAACCAGTCTTCAACAGCTTCAATGGCGTCCTCGTTGTCATGGAAAAGATGTCCTTTGAGTGATTTTTTTAAAATTTAGGAAACAAAAAAAGTCTACGGGGGCTAGGTCTGGTGAATAAGCTGAGTGTGGCTGGATATCAAAGCCGCACTGTTCTGCTGTCTGGACTGCTTGCTGTGCCCTGTACGCAGGGGAGTTGTCATGCAGAGTGGGCGCCTCGTTGACCGTGAGGTGCGACCTGTGCGGAGGGAAATCGGGTACCTGGCGGTTGAGGTGAGATCAACTGCCCCTCGCCAACACATCTCTTTGGCCCAGGTTTTCCTCTTAGACTGGAGGGAGGCACGGCCCATGCCACTCAATCGGTTGAGAGCTGAAACCCCTTCAAGCCCTGGGCCAATCTTGACGGGAGGGTCTTGTACTTTCTCGTGAAGAGTATAGCTCCGGGGTAGCCCTGTCACAGCTCCGGTTATCCGAGCAATGTGTCCCCTTGTTGGGTTCAGTGGCGGGCGGGTCGCCCCGGAGTCGAATCACCTACAAAACTCTTATGGATACTAAAACCCTTAAAGACCCTTCCCCAGCTCCCAACGGTAAAAAGTCTCGGCTTGCGTAAGCGGGTGCGGCCGCGGAGCCGAGCAAATCAAAAGGAAAAATAACCTTTTCCTCAGCCGTACGGAGCCATCTCCGGTTCAAAAGACGCACAGAGAAAGACTTCACAGATTACCGATCTGAACCTCTTTAAGATAGGAGATGCACTAAGGAAAGTTCTGGGATACAGACACTTTTCAGTGGTGCACTCCTTGCATTGCTGACATCAGCAGGTCTAACGAAATGACCAAACAAGTTACGATATCCGTTCTTTTTTTGTCTCAATAGCAGAAATGCGTGCTTTAGGTGCATTAAATGATAATTACCAGAAATACAAGGATACGCCTGACACTCAAGGTTGAGAAGTACCAAAAAATTAAGTCGGCCCAGCCAGAGTGGCGACAGTGAGCTGATTAAGGAGAAGTTGCTTTCTGAGTGACATGTAACAAATATTTTATTTGTTGTCACATTCTAGTAGAATGAATTTGAAAGAACATGTACTAACTAAATTCACTGTAAATGCTAAAACATGAAAAAAAATTTTGTGACATTATCAGTCTGAACAATTGTTTACTTTTTGGCAACAGGAGGATATTGAAAGAAGTGCAGACCAATTCATTGTGTTTGTACAAATGTTTTCTAAAGCTCCATTGGTCATATAATATTCAACATATTTACATCGAGATTTTTATAAATATGTTTCCATCTTTCTATACTATAATAACAAAAATTAGAACTAGGAGACCAAATAAGGGTGCTGCACTAAGTTGTGTCGAAAGCGGCATTATTCAAATGCTCAAAATAAAAACTAATAAACTATGTTGTCTAATCCCATCTTGATTGTGCTATTTGTACAGAACTTCCTGATTTGGCAAAGGCAGAAGAAGTGAAAGAGCTGAGGGTACGATTCATGGGCTCATTTCAAGATTATGAAATTGGTATGTATAGATTTGACAGAGGATCAAAATGAAGACTTGAAATGTTTGTCTCTGTACTTCCTCGGGTTCGTTTGAATAAAGAGTTGGGGTTGACACAGCTCATAAAATGGTATCTGTGCTCACCTGCTCTGAAGGTCTTCATTAATGTTGGCCTACAGTTAGTTAGAACGAGACAGAGCCCAGTCAGAGATTAGGTGGGAAGAAGGCATTGGCAATGGATTGGAAGTCAAGTAGCTGCATAACAAGGAAAGTGTTAGATTGGAACCCACAGGGTAAAAGATCAAGGGGAAGACCACATGAAACCTGGAGAAGAGTCACAGAAATGGATGTACAGAAAAGTGGGAAGACATTGAGTGACATCAAGCGACTAGCTTAGGATAGGAAAAGGTGGAAAGTGTTTGTTCGTGGCCTATATCCTGATCCAGGGTGAGAAAGGCAATGATGAATGATGATGACAGTTAGTTTCAGTTAAGAGGTTGTTTCTTTTTCCTGGGCAAATCCTTGAAGTATGTGCTGTTGGTTGGTTTATTTGGTAGGATGTACCTAGGCAAATTTCACATTTTTGCAAAACCCACCTGATTTATGAATGGAGATATTTTCTTCCTTGTCAAGTTTGTAACGCCCATTGCTGCTGTGTATAAAAAATAAAGAGGTATTCAGTCATTTCAGACATAGTCTGTGTTCAGCTGCTCTTTGCAGCACACTGGTAATACACTAGCTGATGTGTAATGTACGGGCAACAGATAAATTTGGTTGCAGGACCTCCTGATTTTGAACTCTGAGACTTGTTCTTTTTTATTAAACCTACCACTCAAACAATGTTTAACAATTCCTTTTCGTAAGTCATTGTTATACGACAACGGTGCTAAGAACATCTGACATTTGTGGTGATAATCATAATACATGTAAATGTATTTTCACATTCTTTGATTTTCAAGTGTGTGAATTGCTTTCGAATATACATGTTAGATCAATGATTTTTGTTGTTGTTGTTGTTGAGAATGACACTAGTAATAAATTTTAAGGCACGGAGTCCTCTATGGTTCTGATTTTTTGTTCACTTGTCCTGTCTAAATTTAAAGTTTATTAGGTAGCCCAGCTGCTGATAAGCCTTATAAATTTCTTTCCTATTCGCCTATTTTTCTGTGTTGTGTTTCTGTTTTTCTCAGCTCCTTATGAACGTGATTGGGTCAATATGTTTCACTTGTACTCACACAAGCAAGTTAAGAGGGAGGGAGCTAAAGTCGCTGAAATCAAACCAAAATGTCTCTGAACTCTTTTTTTTTCTCACTCCAGCTGTTGAGGGAATCTTCAGCAAATTGCACTGGTAAACTTTTTGTGTTGTTGTTGTGCCTTTTATGCTTTCTTTGTTGTTTTCTTGATTGGGAAAGCAAATGAAAATGTTTTTGATAAGTCATTAACTTGGTATGTACATGCTGTTTATCTTCCAGACAACTTTCCTAATGGCTCTCTACGATTTGGTGAGATGATGCTCAGGCTGACTGAGTACTACCAGTTTTCCATGCAGCATAATACAGCTGTAGGCAATATCTTATCCAAGCACCCTCACCTGGCAGTACCTCAACTATATGCAGAGATGTATGCATCCTGAAAAGACATCCACATTGATGCTGCCAGGGGGCACAGCAATTTCAAATCAACCAGTAATTGAAATTTAAAACTTTCAGTCCGTTCTATGACTGTACCCTGTAAAAGAACTTTTTACTTTTTAAAATTATTGTTTTATTGTGAACAATATTCATGCTGTTTCGTACAGCCCTAAATTTTCTGCTCTGACGAACTGTGAGTCGCAGTTAGTTTTTCTCAGTTGTTGGGATTTGTCTTTCATCTCAAGCTGTTTTGCAGAATTTTTTATGGGGTTTATCCATCCTTGGATTAGTACCTATGAGAAGTGTTGGCACTTGAGTATTTGGCAGGCTTTGGAGTTTTTAAATATAATTGTTTTCTTTATTGTGTGGCAGCATTGGTAGAGAAATGAAGCGTAACCCTCTTGGACCTGAAAAATCTGCCCTCAAGTGACCCGAGAAACCTGGATCTTTTTTGGGGTGCTCAGGAAAGTTTAGGATGGCCGTCTTCAGATGTATTTCTAAGAACAGAATTTGAAAATTAGCATTAAAAGGATACATTTTCTGACAAGTGTTCAAAATAGGGTTTTAGAAAATACAGTTTTCAAATAAGTAGAGAATGAAATATTTTAGTTTAACAGGAGTAGAGGCATCTTTGCATCAACCCAATAACACACAATGGTGGATAACTCCAAGAGTTTCACTACTGCAGTTGTCATTTTTGTAGAGTTATATCCCTTGAAAAGTAACGTATCATTATGTTCAAGTTAATTACCAATGCTTGGCTCACTTGCTATGTGGAATAGTTATGGGACAGGATGAATGTTCATATGTGATTGTGAATTTCCATGCAACTGATTTTGACTAATCGTGCAACATGTGTATGCTTATGCGTTTCTTCCTGAATATTCATGCAACAAAACCCCCTACTTCTTTTAAAATGGTTCTGAACAACACTAACAATAAAAAGTAACAAACTCACATGTATTAAAAGAGGCAACAACAACGAAACAGTTAGTTGGTTAATGATCCTTTATATCATTCTGAAGACATATACCAAGAAGAAAAAACGTGTACAAGAAAAATGCATTATAAACGAATATAACCAAGGAGGTCATCAGGTCTCTGGGCCAAGTGAGGGCTGACCAATGTTAAAGGGGCACACTGTGGTCGCAGATAAACTCCTTGATTTTTAGTGCTTCTTCAGTTAGTAAGTTTATTCAGTGTTTAAGGCCATTGGCCCTCATCACATAAAACACTCATTTGATAAATAAAGTCTCCATAATGAAAAAGTACAGGTACACATATCTCTTATCATAGGTCTAACATGGCATATTTCTGTCAGTGCTTCTTCAGATATATTTTGGAGTTTACCTGAGCATTGTGTGTGCCACCATCCATTGCTCACACATACTCAGCCTATAGACCCTCTGACTCTGTGTGGCATCTTTTGCACAAGTCATAATTGCAGACCTGACACTCATCCCGATGTAGTCGGGATATCCCGCTTTTTTGCCCCAAATCTCAAGCATCCCGATTTTCCCAATTTCGATTGCGTGTATCCCGATTTTTTGTCCCAGTCTGCTGTTGTACTGGATTTTTCTAAAAACTTTTTCTGTCTTCTCCTTTATGACGGGAAGCGCCCGTTGAACTTTTTGTCAGTATGAACTCGGAGCACTATTTCCCGAAATATCGATGCCGCATTTAGTAGTTGACGCGCCCCAAGTTGTGTGTGATCTTTGCCCGCACTCAGAATTCTCCGATGATAGCCTGGTAACTGTTACAATTTGGCACATACAAATAATCGATAATATTCGTAGTTCGGCTGTTACTTTCCAAACAATCCTTGTCCGAGGTCTGGTAACTGCGCCTTCACATCAAACATTCAGCAGGGCTGCCTAAATCTACCGATTTTTCCGGTAGATACCGATTTTGGGCCTGTTCTACCGACATACCGATAAGGTGTCAAAACTACCGGATTTTCGATGGGTGCCGAGAGAATAAACAGAAAAAAAACCATTCTGCAGTGCTTCCATTCTTCTTTGTTTTTACGAAAATCCGTACATTCCGAAAGTTCCGTACTTGCTGCATCATCATATCAACTCCATGCGTTGAGAGAGAGAGAGAGAGCCTCCATAACTTGTCAGATGTTTACGGCAACTCTCGGCAATAAGTTGTTTTAGAAACTGCCAGATTGCGCATTTCGTACACTCGACCATTGTCTATCTGTGCCGTTCGGTCGGCAATGGTTTTTCACGTGCATATCGGCTAAAATCTGTCTACTCACAATAGATAATCTTTCTTCTTCTTTTCATTCATTCTTTCTTTCTGTCTATCTTCAGTTTTTGCTGCGGCTGGAAAATCTGTGCATTTAATTCATGTATCCAGAAAACAAAAATGTGAATATAGAAGGAAAATCGGTATTGAAGCAAAACATTCTAAAATCTGTCTTGGTCTAGAGAATTGGTCAGTACCAAATAAGGATTCTACGCCGGGGGACTGCGGGAATTTATTACCTGGGAATCTGAAAAAAAATCGCAAAATGCATAAAGTCCTCGAAACCAAATCTGAAACGCCTTCTGAGTTCATATTTTAGTGGTCGCATTTGTAATATTACGTTCAGCTTTCCCCTGTCTGAGAGTACGTTTCACGCGAATGAGCGGCTATGGCGGCCGGCGGAAGTGTAGGTGTAATACTGAGGCTCCATTGGGAAAATCAAAATCTACTTTCGCTTTCATTACCGCTCAGAAGTGTCCTATGATAGTCCGTTGACGTTAGTATTACAGGTAATAAAAATTTGTAACCTGCAGTTTGTGCGTAAAAAACACAGAGTAGCCATAAACATTAAATCGATATTCTCACTGATGTTGCTATAATGACAAAAAAAGGGAGAAAAAGAAAACACGCGTCCTCCAATTTCTAGATTGTCGGGCCCGTCATCGTGACCGGTCAATGAACCTGTGAGAGTTCGTAAGTACGGCATGAGCAAAGGACCGGCCGGTGGTTGTTGGGGAAAGTCTAATCAAAGTTCATTCAAAGTAGGTGTGTTGCAGGGCGTCGGAATTGAGGGGAGGTGTTTAATGCAATAAAGTCTACGGCAGCAGGAGAAGGCCGCGGTGCAAGAAACTGATGCTAAAATAAAAGCGATAAGTGGAAGTGGTTTTGACATTTTACAATCGAGTGCGTAAACGAGGGAACATTAGAGCTCAGGCTTGATGATTGTATCTTCAAGGTTGGTGTTCCCTGATTTGCCGGATTTGTCAGTGATGACAAATTGAATAGGTGCAATGAGGAAATTCCGTTTTCAACCATCGGGAAGCTCTATGTTGGATGCCTATACATCATGATGGCTTGTTGCTGATTAAATACTGGTACTGAGATTTAGCAGTTTGAAAAAAATCAATACTTAGTCCATGATGCAGTGGTTCACTGATTGCTAGGTTTTCAGCATCACTATATCCCACACTCTCACAGTCCTTCCAGCTCCGGCTCTATCAGTACACGCTCTCTTTTATTTTCACTTTTTGCTCTGCCGTGAGCCTAACTATAAAGGTTTTATAAATAAGTTTTGTCTTGCATGCTTTTTAAAATCCGTAATTGCTGAAACCAAACATGGTTTTAGCAGTTGATGTTCTTTTTGCCTCTCCTCAGGTCCAGATCAGGATTCATTTTGTATTTTTAGGGCAAAACTAGTTAAAATTAATTGTCTGTCATACCTAAGTCACGAAGGACTTCTCAGTGTCCTATGCTAGTGTCTGGAAAAGTATTTTTAATTTAGTTTCTATTGGTATGGGTTAGGGGTTTTGAAGTCAGTTTGACAATCACCCTGCATTCAATTCCAGATTCAATACTGAATGATAGGTGCCTTGAACGATAGTCCATAAAATCATTTTTTTTAAAACCAACCTCGCCTCATTTCATACACACTGTTCATCGTAACTTGTGCACACCCATACACCCCCTTCCTTCCCCACGCACATATAGTCACATGCGAGAGCATGACAACATGCACACACACACACACACACACACACACTCACTCACACACACACACACACACGCACACATGTGCATGCACAAACAAGTTTTCAAAATATAATTACCCAATATCACGGAAAGCAAGCACGTTCGTTCGATGGGGCAACGATCATCTTTTTTTTTCTTCTTTGTCTTTGTACTACCTGATTTTGGGCCAATCTACCTGAAAATGACCCTGAATCTACCTGAAATGGGAACTTTGAGGTAGGCAGCCCTGAATCAGATGAGTGACAGTCTTTCTAACCCTTACACAACTCCATGTAACCGCGCTGACAAGACTAACATACGGCCATTGTCGTTGCTTTAGTCTGAACGCATATGAGGGATAAGAGATTTGTTGGTACAATTGGTCGGTCGGCCGTCGTTGTTATCCTAGAGTACGAGAAGTAGAATGACTGTCGCTCATCCGAGTGTTTTGTATGAACGCGCAATTAGTCGGTCCCGTCAGTAAAATTGTTTCAATCGTGCATTTGTGTCACATGGTTTGACATCGCCGTGTGAGTTCTGCGTGTCAGGGACCGTCCGTTGATGGGGTCAACTTAAGTTCATGTATTTCGGGACTTATTGGTAGGGGGGGGGGGTATAGACACTTGAACTAGAAGGAGTGCTTGACGTGATGCTTCAGGATTTACAAAAAATAATGATAACTCGCACACACGCAAAGACACACACACGCGCGTGTGCAAACAAGCAAAGACACTTAGAGTTCATATAGGCCAAGTAATTAATGGACGCCCCTGGAAAAATTTTAAGTCAGCTTTGGCAGTCACCTTGGTGATTTTCCTGTTGATCCCGATTTTTTTCACCAAATCCGATTTTTTTCTCCCCGAGATCCTGATTTTGAGGTTTCATAGAGTGGCAGGTCTGTTATTGCCTGAATCATCAGAGGCTGAGTCATCATTGTAGATGATGCGGAGCTCTTCGTCATCCTTACTGCTGTCTGTGCCTCTTCTCTTTGCTTCATCTCTTTCTTTTTTCTTTCTAGTTTGTTCTTGTGCTCTTCTTTCCTTTTCTTTGTGGCTTCTTCCCTGGTCTTCTGTTTCTCTTGTTTCTCTTGTGCCTTCCTCTTTTTGTTCTCCTCCCAGGCAGTTTTCCGTTGCTCTTTATCCTTAAGTACTTTCTCTTTCTCCAGCTGTTGATTTTTCAAGTAGGATCTGGATGCTTCACCGGTCAAGACCATGGAAATTGAGGCTGCGGTAGCACTCTTTATGGTTGTGCTTTTTGTAAAAGCTGGGCAGGCAGTGGTGTGCACAGGAGCTTAAACTTTTCCTTCTCCAGTACCACAAACCTTTCTTCTTTGTGACTTGCAATCTGTGTGTCAAATTTCTCTTCAGGTAGCTTCCTCACTTCCTCCAAAACATAGAGGTCATCCTGAATAGCTGTTTCCTGTGACTCCAAAGTGGTTCCTGGCACATTGTCTGGTGGTGGTGCAGTACTGGTATTTGGGGGGTCCAGCAGCGCTGAAATTTGGGCTGGCACACAGCTTCTCAGATTGCAGAACACTCTCTGGGTTAAACGGGTGGATTCCACTGGATGAGAAGCCTTTAAAACCATTCTCAGGGACAGCTGCAGCCTCCCATGCTGGCTTTAAAACTTGAACAAAAGTTCGCGGGCTCTCAGCCTCTCCTGTCTCTTGCATGTGTCTTCCGACTTGCCTCTCCCAGTGGACCGTAACAGCTCCAGTGAAAGCAGGGTTGATGGGTTGAATGACGTGCGAAGCATGGATCTTTAAACAGTAGAGAACGATGTTGTGATCAAGGCTGTGTGCGAGGCATGATCTTCGACAAACAGGGAAAGAGATTTCTTGACAAATTCCTCTTGCTTGATGAAAACATCCCTCAACCACATCAAGAGTACCTCCCCAGTTATCCATCTCAAAACTGGCCTTGGGAAAGTCCTCAAGAGGGTTGAAAGTTGGCAATTTCTTGTAAGAACAAATTATCATTGGAGGGAGGAATCTTCCATTGGCACTTGTGCACACTACCACTGTGATGTTCTACTTGGTATTACCTGTCAAAGAATAAATATGCCAGTCCCCTTTAAATGCCACCACTTTCGTTCC